GATAAAATATCCCTAATTAATCTATTTAAAATCTGATTTAGATTATCACCATTTGATTAATCTGTACTTAAAAAGTTATTCAGTTCGGCGCTTTGTCCTCGACTCTGATGGAATGTTCGTATATTGGTTTACTTGAGAATGTGTAGAGTAATCAATGATGCTATTTTATAGTTACTTAAATCTTGCAAAAAAAACGTATCTAAGTTTAATAACTCCACATTTGCAACAATATATCTCAATAATGAAGACGTTCATGGGCGTAGCCAGAGAGTGGGGAGGGTTTCACCCCCCCCCGAAATGAAATCCTCCCCTGATGGGGGGTGGGGTCGGAGTTAAGTGACTGATTTTTTTCTTTGATTTTGTTTATTTTAAGTGAGATTTTAATACTAAACCATCACTTTTCCCAGTGCAGCCAATGGGGTTTTGAGTATAAAACCCCCTACCAGGAGGTTTTGCAGTTGAATCCACCTCTTCTATAAAACAAAACAAAAAAAATGCAAACGAAAATCCCCCAAATTTCAAGAGTATTAATTTTGATTTTAAAACTTATTCCGAAATTAACGATAGTACCCCCCTCTTCAATATATGACTATCCATTTTTCAGTCACCAGATTCTATGAGCGTAGCCAAGAGTGCACGGTTTAACCCCCCCCCCCCTTTAAAACCCACCTCCAGCGGGGTTTGCAGCTAAAAACCACCTCTTTCATATAAAAAAAAAAGCAAATTACACACTCAAAATTCTATGAGCGTAGCCAAATGGTGTTTTAAATTCAAACCTCTCCAGCGGGTTTGAAGCTAGAAAATACCTCTTAAATTAAAAAAAAAAAAAAGCAAATTACACGCACAAAACTCTTTCCATATAAAAAAATCCAGTTACTCAAATTTCTATGAGCGTAGCATAAGGGGTTTTGAGTTTAAACCCCCCTTTTCAGCGTGGTTTGATACTAAAAAATACCTCTTCAATATAAAATTAAGCAAATTACAGGAGCCTAGCCAAGCCAAGGGGGGTTTTGAGTTTAAACCCTTCCTCCTCCAGAGGGCTTTTTTTAAAGTATAAAACCCCTCCATGTGGTTTTGAGTTTAAAATCCCCCTACATAGAGTTTTGAGGTTGAAAACCTCTCTCTTCAATATTATTCTAAATCAAACTACAGTCACTAAATTGATAAATTATATGAACGTAGTTAAAGGGGTTTTGAATTTGTAAAAAAAAAATTCACAGATTTTTTTAGTTTAAACCCCCCCCCCTCCCAACAGACGATTTTGACGATAAAACTTCCCTTTTCGACATAAAATTTAAAGCAAGCTACAGTCACCTAATTCCAAGAGCGTGGCTAAGAAAGGTTATAAATTTCTACTGTGGCTCAACAAATATGGCTTAGACGGATTTTAGGATTCAGTTATAGAGATAGGGTCTAAATCAAGAAAATACAATGCCGAACTGGGAGTCGACCCCTTAGTAAGGTTGTGACAGAGCGTCGCATGAGGTTTGCGGGACATGTCTCTGACAAAATGAATTACGCATAATAAGAGTTGCGATGACATCCTAGTACAACATGGCGCCACACTTTCATGGAGGTCCTCAGAGCAGGTGGGAAAAGGCTTCAGACATTGACAATGACAGAGTTTTGTGGAAGCAGCTTGCCGCCCAATAAGCCGAAAGGCGAAGGAGGATATAAGTAAGTAAGAAAAGCACATTTGCACGTTTTTGAAATAAAACTTTTTAATAACAGGATAATGCACTGTAGATACCTCAGAATATGCATTTTGTTGTCTTTCAATACCGGAAATAGTGCTTGGCACTAACTCCAGGAAGAATTCATTCTAGGTTACAATAATCGTCTTCCGAAAGAATGAAGGGTCAGAATGTAATAAAGATTATAAAGATTAATTATGCGTGTGCGCGCACACCCACATATATATTGGTGGGGGGGGGGGGGGGGGAGAAAAATCCCCCCCCCCCCCCCGAAAATAAATCTTGGTTACGCCCATGAAGACTTTATTTTCTTTTTTCGATGTCAAACAAAATAATTACCAATAATTAAATGACTAATTGGTTAGTTTTTTAAAATTGATTCGTGATGTTTGGTCGCTATGCTAGCCACATGACACCATCGTTAACCGTGGACCACAGAAATATGAACTTTACATCATCTGACTGGCTGCCCTATAGATCGCAAGGGCTGAAAAGGGGAACTTAAATATTTTTTTTTAAGTCTTGCATTTATCAAATTTCAAATATATTTTTTGTATATCTCATATCTCTACAGTTTATCCGGAGCATTCGTTGTTGTCCAAGTTGTCAGGGACCTAATGATATTTGTCTCATTCACTTGTGCCAGTCCGTCTTTTCGACGTCACTTATTAAACATTGTTTCGTTGGCACTGGTGCGAAGGTAGGCTAAATTTTATACGCAGTAGATCTAGATTTATATCGATTCTAGATTAATATCCACTTTGTTGACTTTCGATCAGTTCGATGTAGCGTATTGAATAAATAATTAAAAAAAGAGAGTAAGATTGTTCGATTTTGAAACAAATAAGTAAACTATACAATGTCAAGGACGACATATTGAAAGATCACAGTTGTCAGCCAGTTAGCAAAAACAAGCAAAATACAAAAGTAAACAAAGCTTGTTTAATGGGGAAGAACTCCACATTCACAACTCAATAGTGTAGATGTTATTTCCTTTTTCTCAATATCAAACATCATAATTAATTGACTAATTTTTTATTTGGTTCATTTTTGTTAGATAATAATTGTTTGAGGTTTAAACTTGATCCAATAATGGGTGTGAGAGAAATAATGCGTACAATAATCTAAAGGGATATATTTGCCCATGTCTCTGAAAGGTTGCTGAAAGATCATTGTGTCAGGAGGCTGCTGAAAGATCGTTGTGTCAGGAGGTTGCTGAAAGATCATCCTACCTGAAAGGTTGCTGAAAGATCATTGTGTCAGGAGGTTGCTGAAAGATTGTTGTGTCAGGAGGTTGCTGAAAGATCTTCGTGTCAGGAGGTTGCTAAAAGATCTTCATGTCAGGAGGTTGCTGAAAAATCATCGTGCCAGGAGGTTGCTGAAAGATCATCGTGTCAGGAGGCTGCTGAAAGAGCATCTTGTCAAGATTTTACTGAAAGAGCATCGTACCAGAAGGCTGCTGAAAGGTCATTGTGCCAGGAGGTTGCTTGAAGATCATCTTGTCTAGATTTTACAGAGAGAGCATCGTACCAGAAGGCTGCTGAAAGATCATCTTGTCAAGATTTTACTGAACGAGCATCGTACCAGAAGGCTGCTGAAAGATCATCTTGTCAAGATTTTACTGAAAGAGCATCGTGCCTGGAGGTTGCTGAAAGATCATCGTGTCAGGAGGCTGCTGAAAGAGCATCTTGTCAAGATTTTACTGAAAGAGCATCGTACCAGAAGGCTGCTGAAAGGTCGTTGTGCCAGGAGGTTGCTTGAAGATCATCTTGTCAAGATTTTACTAAACGAGCAACGTACCAGAAGGCTGCTGAAAGATCATCTTGTCAAGATTTTACTGAAAGATCATAGTACCAGTTGGTTGCTGAAATAATGAACTCACATACATAAGAAAGAAAAAAAAGAAAGAAAGAAAAGTAGGTGACAGTCAAAACGGAAAACATCTTTTATTTAAATGTAGCCTACTTCTAAAAGCACAATTCTTTAAAATGCAATGTACATTTGTATTTATTTTCTGCTTTTCAGACAAAGCTCTGATCGTAAAGAAGTGTCCCAGTCGCCAGTGACCGAAACATCTCAGTTATCTATCATCATGGAAACAAAATACAAAGCCAACCACTTTTAATTACTTTAATTCTTTAGGCAAAATGAGCATCGATAAAAGTTTTTTTTTTTCTGGGTCTTGTTTGGTTACGGGAAATAGGCATTTTGACTTGAGAAGTATCTTAACTTTAAAAGAAAAAAGTAATTAAAAGACAATTGTCAGCTTGCAATCAGCAGATTAGAATCCAGATTTGTTATTTTAGAAATTAGTGTGGTAATTATTCCTATTATTTTAGGAATTAGTGTGGCAATAACTGTAATGGATAAATGTTGGCCCGAAGAAGTGTGTGATAGATTCGGGGACAGGGTGAGAAAAGGAGAATCAGGGCTGATGTCATGCCTTTGTGACCAAATTTAACGAGAGTGTGTTGCCAGTGACGACCAACTATTTTAAATTCTCCCTTAGTCTATAGCATGGTTCTGTTCTCGTCGTAACAACCTGGTGAAATGTCTGATTCAAGGAGCAATGCAGGTCAAGTGACACGAAGAAACGATCCCTGGGGGGACTATTTACTTGTCATTCAATATGTGGGTCGTATCTTAAGGTAATGCTAGGCCATGATTTCAACACCCAGTCCGCCCCTGCACATGTGTGTTTCTAGTGTCACGCTTGACAGCACATATTAACGGCTCACCAATATTAGTGAATATCATTAGGTCACATTGAGTGTGCGGAGGAGAATTATGCATATTTTTTCTGGATGATATTTGATTTGCATAAACTAGATATAGGGTCAAAAAATGGAATCATGGGAAGGTGATTGTTCTGTCAGTGTGGGAGACTATCAAGAAAGATAACCGCTACTTTATAAGTGAGAAGCTAGCTAGCGTGTTAGTTCTTATCTGGATTGTTCACTTGTATCTAATAGTGTTTTATTTCAACTCTAAAATTGTATTCAAGTTGAAAATGTCTAAGTATTTTATAGTTTGGAATCAATTTCATTGAATTGAGTTTGAAAGTATTCAAATTATTCAGCTGAGTTGCTTCATTGTGTCCTAGTGGTGTGTTGAATAGATTTGAATCTCTGAATCCGCGTATGTTAGATGCTCAAAAAAAAACAAAAAAAAAACAAACAATAACAACATCGTGACAAGGAATGTAAAACAGCCAAGTCAGGATTTCAAACAAAGAACTTAAATAAAACTTTGTAACTCATTAACTCAACCTCAGTAACATAAGAACAACCAAGGCAAAGTTGTAAATGAATTGAAGGTCAAACTAATTTTAATATCATTTATTGAAGGAGAAATGTAAACCAACATTAATAGATGAAGGTTACAATCTGGCATAGCTTTTAACTCACTCAGTGGTCAGACAACAGGAAGTTTTATCTCATTTAACAAGCCAAACAAAATATTGCACTGAAAATAACAGTCTTAAAACATACCAAAAGCAGTTATTCAACTGCAGAAGTTGATTATTAATCTCTGGCATTGGGTGACTGTGAACTTTTTACTTTATACTATAACAAGAATGATAATTGAAAATGAATAAAATATTAATACCTTGTCTTTTGGTTAAACAATTATTTCTGCTACTTGCAATAATGATAATACAGTTTAATTAGACCATGACTAGGACAAAGAGATCAGAAAACAAATAGTAATGAGTTATTTAGTGAAACAAAACATTTATGATGAAAAGAAAAAAGGGAAAACAATTTTACTGACAACAAAATCCATACAATTACTGAATTAGCAGATCAACACTTAGTAATTGAAAAAAGAAAACACTTTTTTTTTTTACAAGTAATGTTTGTCTAGAAGGCTACCTGCATAAGTTTGTGGTATCCAGAGGCACAATTGAGATCAACTAGAGATTTTTTTTTGGTCAGAAATCTTTTAAGTGGAGATTGTGTGAATACTAAATATAAAACATCCAAATGGTGAGTTGCTTGTTTATAACAGCTTATCTCTTGTGTTTATAACAGGTTATCTCATGTGTTTATAACAGGTTATCTCTTGTGTTTATAACAGCTTATCTCTTGTGTTTATAACAGCTTATCTCTTGTGTTTATAACAGCTTATCTCTTGTGTTTATAACAGCTTATCTCTTGTGTTTATAACAGCTTATCTCTTGTGTTTATAACAGCTTATCTCTTGTGTTTATAACAGCTTATCTCATACAATAAAATAAACTTCATAAATCATTTTAATATTTGACTATTAAACATTGTTTTTTTTAAACATTAATACCTCTAGTAAACTTTCAAAAATGTGATCATACAGAATGTTGTTTTTTTTTAAACAAAAACTTCAGAACTAATACATTTTATGTTATTTGGTCATTATCAAAAATAAAATACAATAAGGTTCAAGACAAAGAGATCTAACCTAGGGGTGAACTGCGGGGAACCTTAAGGGCTTGAAACAGGTTTTATAAGAAGTAAGGTGCTTTTGTACAGGTCTGAAGCAAAAAACTAAAGAAAACAAAGCATAACAAAATCTAAATGAATACACCAGATCTTTAAATAAATGAATAAAACAATAAATGCCATTTTAAGCACTCAAGCTATGGTAATATAAATATTGCTTAAAAAAAGAGCACCCGTTTGAAGCAAATAATACTATTGAACAAAAGTCAAATAAAAAAAAAATCTAAATCTATATCAATAGAAGAGTTAACTACATACAACATTTGCAAAGGAAATGAAATGACCTGAAAAAAAAATGATTATAATAAATATTAAATAAAAAATCACTGTATTTGTCAGAGTGTTATTGAAGTAAAAAAAAAAAAAATTATGATCGACCAAATAATTATTTGAAAGTAATAATCAAAATATGAACTACCAGTACATGTGTCGACTAAAGTCAACTGGCATAACAGAATTACATTTTGGCAAAGGGCTGGTTTTAAGTATTCTCACAGAACACATTGGTTAAACATTATGTTAATTTGTTGTTAGTGTCCACTGAATTCTCTCCACTCAATGTTCCCTTATTTATTTTCTAGTCATTTGTTTTTGTCAACTGATAAATGTACAAATCTGTATAATATTTAAGTCCACATTCTAAATTTATCAAAAGCATCAGCTCTGATATGGATCTGAAACCAAAGCACAAATAAACATTTTGTTGACCATTTTTGTGACTTGTTAGATAATAGCAAGCAATAACAGCAACTCATAATAAAGGTTTATAAATTGACATGAAAGCATGAGTGTCAAAAATTCAATTACAACAAAGCATAAGTGCTAGTTAACAAAACAAAATGGCTGGAACACTCATATTAGCAATGAAAAAAATATTGTTAGCGTTAGCAGCATTTTAGCAGCAGGTAACAATGATCCGTTGGATGGAGTGCACTTATTCTGTGTAAGGGTTCACGCTATGTATTTCTTTCAAACAAAAAACAAATCATTAAAATAAAAAAAAATGCATAACACACTTTCATCACCAATGCAATCAAAATTTGAAATAGGGAAAATGGGTAAAAAAAAATTATCGGTACAAATTATTTTGTTAGAGGGAAACAATATGCAAAAATGCAATCTAAGGGGGTGCAAGGAAAAAAACCCAGACAAAACAGATGCATCAATTAGTATTATTGAATACAACAAGTGAAAATCTGTTTCTGAGATGATTGTCAACAAGATATACACAATTGATTTGTGATTCAAAACAATTATAGATTCTTATGTACAGTTTTAATGCGAGCAGCTCGTTAGGGCAGCACTGGAACTATTAGATTGTGCTAATAACTTGTATATGTCTTATACTTTGCTTTTTTCTTCAAAATAATAAAACAGTGACAATCATACATGTTTTATGTTTTCTTGTGTTTAGAATCTGATGCTCTTGGAGACAGGCTGAGAGGTTTACTCACACTCTCCCTGAAAGCTTTGAAGACATTAAGTTTGGAATCACTTCCACTTTCTTTCATTTTATGTCCGCTAGGAGGTTTCAATGTAGCTGATTCACTACTTGACTGTGTTGGTGCTGGAGGAGCATCTGTTGACAACTTGACTAAATCCTTGGCAACAGAGCTAGATTTTGGTTCATCTTCAGTAATACTAATATCGGAAACATCTGATTTATTCTCATCTATCATAATTTTCTTGCTTGCTTCAGAATTAGTGTTCAGCTTTTTCTTACTATTTGTAGACTTACTGGACTGCACCAGTTCACCTCTCCAGGAAAATCTTTCCCGAAATGCTGATTTTACATCACTGACATCTGCCGTTGAGAACGATCTAGACTTCCTGGATAAAATTTTGGTAGCTAGAAAAGAAGGGTCGCCAAGTGATTTCAGCAGGCGTGAAGAAGCTACATATTGAGATGAGCCAGGTAATGATGCACTGCTTATTCCTGAAGCATCATTTAATCCCGGAAGAGATGAAGACAAATTGGCTTCTAAGCCCCTCAAAGAGTTGAGCCCATCCATACTTCTCCTTAAGTTCTCTGTGCTCAGTTGGACTTTGCATGCAGCTCTAAGATCTTCTTTGTTTTCATATATTTTTTTCTTTCTCATACCATCAGTATCCTGTCTTTGCAAGGACAAGGCTTGAGTCACAGCTGCACTCACTGGTTCCGAGCGCCTTCTTTGTCCATCTTCTAAATCCATTTTTTTGCGCAAAATCCTTCTCATTACCTCTGAATTGCCTTTCGAGACGCCCTTACTAGGTTGTGGTATGATCCTAGGTGGAACAGGGGTTGGTACAGTAGGAGAGGCTTGTGGGGCTTCTGAGGTTCTAATATCTGAATAATCAAACATTGGATGAAGAGTTTCTGATACTACATTTTCAGCCCCTCTGGATTCCAGTGTCAAAGGCTGCTGAGGTGGGAGAGGTGCTGATTCAGTTTTCTGAATAGAGGTTCTGGGTGGCACTTCTGGCTTATCAGACACTTTTGGGGTGATGGTGAAAAAATCTGTAGGTCTGGATGCAGCTGTGTTGACATGAGAGGACGTAGCTGAACTAGATTGAGACATAGCAGTTTTGACAGAGCCTCCTAAAGAAGGAGAAGGCTCCTTTAAGCTAGACTCTGCCACTGGACTTTCTGGCATTTTCTTTCTGCGAATACTGGGGCTTCCAGGGTAGTGGGATATCAAACTACCACCTCCATGATTCTGTGCTAACTGGGACACCAATTGCTGAAATAAAAATAGAAACAATGCATAACCAGACTAGGAATGAAAAATAATATATTCCTCTAAAGGTCTATCAGACTAATAATTTAAATAAAAAGATGAGAAAAATGAAACAACTAGATGTAAAGAAAATAGCCTAGCTAAATACTATTCATTAGTGTTTTTTTTTCTTCATTTCAAAGCTGCCTCCATGATAATACCTAAAAAGTGATGTCAAATGAATGCATAAGCTCTTTGTTTAAAAGGTAAAAAAGCCCTATTTGAACTCAATCCAGCATATTTATCAGAATTCCAATGAAACTCAGGTAAAACTATGTTTTAAGTCACCAACCTTAATTGCTTCAGTTCGTTGATATTCTAACCTTGCCATCTCAGTGGAAATACAAGGAGGAAGGTCTGGTATAGACCGGTACAAAGAAAACTTGGTTGTAAGAATAAAATGCTGGGGAAAAAAAAAATAAACTGGTTATTCACTCTTTCACTTCATTGTTATCTTACTAGTCATGCATGCTCAATAGTTGAGTTAGAGGGCAGTACCTCAACAAGGACAATGATTATACAGTAAGTTGTGCTGCTAAGACCAGGTAACATTCGCTCCAACAGTCCAGAGGTACCCACTAGGGAGCAGTTGACTATGACAGCAATGACACTAAACACTAGCAGAACATCCTGGAAGGAACCAGAAATGAGAGAAGCAGATCAATAGCTGGTTGTTGAATATAAAACAGTCCAAGTAGTCATATTTACACAATTTATTGTGTTGGTTTCATGTTAATAACAAAAAAATAGAAAGTGTGGCTATGTAAAACTATTAGTGTAATTAAAAAAGACAATTGTATTGGATCTATACCAGAATGGAGCATTTAAAAACACATTAACAAAATGTTTAACTAACTTTACAAGCAAATAGTAAATGTCTAGCGATAAAAAAATTTACCATACAAATTTTAATAGTGTTTTTTAAGAGAGTTTACTAGTGATATCAATCTATTTATATACTTTATAATGTACCATAATATACTTGTGTGATTGTAAGTTGATGGGATTTATACATTGTATTGAAAGGGTTAAAGGGATTGTTATTTTTTTTATAAGGATGATCCTACGAGTTTAATGCACAAAAAAGTGGGACTGCTTGTATAAGAGGAAAAAAAAAAGAGTTAAAGGTTGTCAATGTGTTTATTTGTTTACTTCTTAATATTGCAATAAAAAATATTCAAGTACTTGTTAAATGTCTTTTTAATCAACATCATATAAAAGCGACACCTGAACAATTACATTATAGACAGCTTTGTATATAGCAGGATCACTAGTTCATGGTGACCTACCTGCCAAATCCCGATACTATCCACACGCTGGCCAAATGGTCTTTGGAAAGTCAGGCACAGCTTAAAGGCATCAGAACGTATCTCAATGACATTGTTAAACAAGGCACAGAGAGCTGCAAGAGGGAAAGCTGACGAGAACAAGGTGATGTAGCCAAACTGTATGCACATCTCCAGGTAGTCGTCTAAAGTGTCCTCATACTAGGAAAATTATTATAGCAAGACAAAATAACAAACTATAGTCTTCATACTAGGAAAAACATTATAATAAAATCATGGAAGTGTCATTGTTTTTAGTGACAAAATAATTCATTTTGGTTGAACAAAAAAAAAACAGTGACTTGTATGCATTTTTATACTATGTGAGAACAACCTCATTGCACTGTGCAGGATTGTAAATGAGCTCCACAATGATCTGTCAATGTCCATGTGCCGTCCCCCAAAGGGCTGTTACATAAATGGCGTGTCCCGCACGGTTAGCCTGGTAGATCAAAGGAAAATGACGGTGGGTCACGGTGGTCAGCCTTTGGCCGCGTCTCTAGTCCACGAGTCCAGAGTTTGAATTCTTTTCCCATTACTCTTTATTCATTGTTAATTTATTTCACTCAACTTATAAATATATAATGAGTTATAAATGTTTTGGCTATTGAAAGCTCTTTGATATTTTATCATCCAATGAACAACTTACTTTCTTCATTGCACTTTCCACTTCTGCTTGGGTAAGTGCTGGTAGAGCTTCCTCATCTTCCTCTGTCAAGGTACTGCTGTCACTGTCAGAGTCTTTCGACCCATCTTTCTTGGAGTGCATGCTAGAGCTATGAGCTTTGGGTCTGGCTGTCATCCTTCGCACTTCTTTCTCCACAGAGGCGGGAGACATCTGTGTGGCTATACGGTATCCTACACTGTACAAGCGAGCTTTCCAAATGATGTATGGTGCAAGTGCTTCTTTTACATTTCCGAGAACCTGACGTGTAATTAGGAGTGCTGCAAGTTGCTAGTTGGGAAAAATATATAGACTTAAAATATATCAATAAGTAAATATGAAGTGAAGTATATAGTTTTATTAACCAATTGTTTTACAAAGATAAAATCTAGGGGAACTTTGCAATCATAGAAAACAAATTCAATATAGCTTTGTTAAAAAAAATTGCTATTAGATATAAATCATAGTAAGAAGTAAATCAATTTCAAAGGCTTTTACAGCTAGGGGGTGTCAATGGGATAAGCTCCCACTGCCCAAGATCAGAACAGCATGTGTGCTGGGTACGACCCTCGCTGAGAGTAAAAGGACTGTGGCAGCATTAGAAAATAGAAATAGGAAGAAGCTGCCCTATCCAATAGCCCTAAAGCAGATGCAATAAAAACATGAACTGCGGCAAAGTTGGCAGCGACTAAATCTGCTTGTTTAGTCACAACAGATTCTGCCTCAATTCAAGAAAAAAACAACACCAGTTATTCACTTGGTCAGGAGGAGATATATATAA